TGTAAATCAAGAGTATAACTTAGAAGCTTGGCTTATATAGGATCAATTTCCAAAAAAGGATTTGCTGCTTCTGATATTTTTTTAAACCTTTCAAGTTGTTGTTGTTATGTGTTGTCAAGTCATACCCAACTCATAGCCACCTCTCCTTGGGTTTCCGAGGCTTCCAAGGAGTGGCTGGTGGGTTTGAACTGCCAGCCTTCTGGTTAGCAGTCAAATGCTTTAGGTACTACGCAACCAGAGCTCCGAACCTTCCAAGAGTGAATGGTAAACATGAACAAGAACTGTTCTACCTATCCTATTAAACTGAGCATGTCACAGATCGAACTCCCCTTCCCCCTGAAAACTGACTTTCTTTTTCATTGTCTCCATTCTGTAACTGGTATTGTCACTCTTCCAGCCTCCACTGAAGGTTTGGAGCTATCTCTGACACCTCTCCTACATCCCCCACATCCAGACACACGCTTTGTTGGTTCTTCATTGAGAAACTTCCTTTTCTTCCAGTCACACCTTGAAAGCAGAGACTAGATCCTACTCCAAACCCCTTTTATCTCACATTTAAATATCTCTGATAACCATTTTGTTTCTAGCTCCTCATTCATTCCATATACTGCTGAAAGATTAATTTTTCTAGAACCAAATTATATTCTTTTGCACAATTTCCCAGCCAGGATCAAGATCTAATTCTAATGTGTTTGTGTGAACGAGCAGGTGAAACCTGTTTCCACATCAAACTGCCCTGTCCTGTTAATTCCTTTGAGCCACATATTGAAGTGAAATCTGCTACCCAATAATCTTCATTCATAATGATTAGAATCGATGTGATGACAACTGATTTATGGGTATATCATCAAGTAACTTCACCTCTACTCACAACTTATAAATCAATGTGCACCTTTTTCAAGTTCATTTCTGAAAATTCTTTCAAGAAACTGAAAAGCTAAGGAAGCCTATATATTCTCTAGCCACATAAAACTAGGCCCATATGTTGCCTGACTAAAAATGCTCAGTCTGATTTGTTTCAAAGTCCAAGTTCCAAAAGGTAAATGAATGCATATTCTCTAACTTGGGAATTCTCAATCACAACTTGTAATGGCTACTATTAGCCTTCTCAGACAACAGACTATTTAAATATATATTTAAATAACTCAGTAAAACATAATTTACAAAAATTATGTCGTCTCACAACTGAATAGTTGCAATGTTATCCTCTTTTTATAAATTTAGAAACTGAGACAGAGAGAGGTTATTTAACCCACGATTTACACTGTAGATGGAAGTGCTGAGGTTTGAACCAAGGACTTAAGAGGCTGCACTCTTAGGAGTTTGCTATACTGCTTCCCTCATCACCTTACCCTGGAACATGAAAAGCACATTGTTCTACTGTCCACAATATAAAATCCAAACTCAGCAAGGAATACTCTTCACAACTTGCACAAATTTTTCCAATCTCATCCCTTTTTATATCTAACACTCTGTTGTTGTTGTTGTTGTTATGTGCCGTCGAGTCGGCCCCGACTCATAGCGACCCCTCCTTGGGTTTCCGAGGCAGTATCACTACGGAAGTAGGATTGCCCAACCTTCCTTCCAAGGAGTGGCTGGTGGGTTTGAACCGCCAGCCTTCTGGTTAGCAGTCAAGTGCTTTAGCCACTATGCTACCAGTAATCCCATCTAACACTCTAGCAACACTAATTATATGTCAAATACAGAATCTTTTTACCTTGCCCTGCCTTCACACATTCTTCTTTCTAAATGGTTTTTCTCCTGTCTCCATTTTCCTCAATTAAATGTCACCTTCTCTATGAAGGCTCTCCCATATCATTGTTAATGCAGGACCAGCACTGTATCAGAGCTGTTAACGTACGAGCCCCAATAGAGCATGAGTCCTTTAACGGTAGGGCTACCTCATCCCGAGAGCCCAGCACATGGTTTGGGACATAAAGAAATACTCAAGTATTTGCTGAATGATATGCGTCAAAAGGAAACACTACAGATATCTAATGGAACTCCCAGGTTTGTCCCCAGGATGTCGAGGTCTCAAAAAATCCAAACTCACTGCCACTGAGTTGACTGCAACACAGTGACCCCCCTTTGGGTTTCCAAGGCGGTAAATCTTTGACATCAAATCCAAACTCTTCAAAGCATCACTCAAAAGCCCTCCATAAACTTGCTCTATTCCAGCCATCCAATCTGATTTCCCACTATTCATCTTACCAACATAAATTAAATTTCCCATAGCATCACATTTTCTAAACATGCAGTCAGAAGATATCACCTAGATAGAACATTTAATGAGTAATTTCACATCTTAACACAAAGGCATCTGGAAAAAGTGATCTGAGTCTATACAACACTAATCCATTTACAAAAACCAGAATTTGTATTTCAGAATAATTTCAGATTTACAGAAAAACTGCAAAAAATAGTAGCATTCCCATATACTCCATATCAAGTTTCCCTACAATTATTAGCATCTTGCACTTGTCTGGTAGATTTGTCACAATTAATGAACCAATACTGATTAAGTTATTATTAACTCAAGTCCACACGTTATTCAGATTTCCTTCAACTATTACCTAATGTTCCTTTTGTCCGAGGAGCCACATCAAATTTAGTTTTCTGTCTCCTTAGGCTCCTCTTGGCTGTTTCTCACTTTCCTTGTTTTTGATGACCATGACCATTTTGAGATGTACCACTAATTCATACCAATATTCTTCAAGAACATATCCCCTAAAACTCTTACGCCCGTATAGCAGTTCTGCATTTTGTAACTGGCACCCTGGGACCTTGGGAGAGGTCTCCAAAAACCTTTCAGGGGGTCTTTAAGGTCAAAATCATTCTCATAATAGCACTTAGACATTATCTGCCTTTTCCACTCTTAAATTTTCAAGAAAATAGAACGGAGTTTTTCTGAGACTCCATTATATGCAATGACATCATTGCTCTGATGGTGACTAGAATGTATGCTTGTATAGTCTTGTGTCTTCTGAAATTTTATAAGATTTAAGATATAAATATGTGCATTTTTGGAGGTTGACTTAGTTTGTTCTCAGTACTTCCATCATGCTCTTATTACCCATCTTAACTTATACCTGTTACAATCTGCATGGAGTGCTGGTGGTACACTGGTTAAAAGCTACTAGCCACTCCATGGGGGAAAGATAGGCAGTCTGCTTCCTTAAGATTTACAGCTTTGGAAACCTTAGCTATACTCTGCCCTTTATAAGAATCAACTCAATGGCAGAGAACAGATTCTACATATCTGTGTGAGGATGGATTTTCTTCATATATGTCAATCAGATATGAGAATCAGCTGTCTTCTATTAACCCAGAGATTAAAGAGATTTGCAAAAAATATAAAACAATATTACTCTCTTCATTAATTTCATTTTGGAAAAGTTATTTTTTCATGAAAATATTATGTTAACATAAAATGACTTTTAAATGGCAAATATATTTTTTAAATTTCTCAGTTTTAATTTTTAATGACAAATATCAATCAATTAATAAATATAATTTCCATAAACAAAAAGTCTTTGGGGTCCTCAATTTTTAAAGTGTAAAGAGGTCTCAAAACCAAATTATTTGAGAATCAACGACTTGTAACATTTTTTTTTTCTATTTCTCAAAACCCTTCTCAAATCTCTACCTCTGCCATGTAGGCTTCAAGTAATCACTTCTGTCTCCCCAAGTTCAAAGGAAGGAAGGATTAAGTGCTACTTGGGCCTCGTTCTGTTTTGCCTGTCAAAATGATGTCTTCTCAGTAGGACATCAATATACCCAGGGTCATTTTTGACTGACTGACAAAAATGGAAATTTACACCTCTAATGATATACATTCAATTGGAATATTTATAAATATAATAAAATAGTTTATTTATTAGTACATTAGTTTTCTAAGTGAAATTTGCTCTGAGATTAGAATGTATTCTGAGCAGAAATGGTCTCATTTGGCTATTTTCCCAGACTTTACAGATGTCTAACTCAAGGAATTTATTATGAAGTGTTTATTTTTCTAGTAATACGTCTACTAATCTTGATCTTTCAAATAGGGTCTAAGAATACACACAAATCATATGTAAACAAATTTGCCAATATGATACCTTAGATTCTCCCTATAGCTGTAAAGTAGTTTTTATAAAATTAATTTTCCTTTACTTATTTGCAATCATTTTCCCCTTTTTTGTTAAGACTAGCGTAAAGATCCAACAAGATTAATAGTGCCACTGTTCTGTATTAACATGGAAAGAATTATGAAGCTAAAATAAAGTTTGATTCCTTCACAAATTAAGGAAACACTTTAAGTGCTCAAGTGCTCTTGCTTTCAAGCAAACTCAGTAAAGCAGAAGTCTTTTCATTCTTCTAATGAAAGTACCATAAAAAATGAGGAGACTGAAAATCAGCAATCAAATGTGAAATCAACGTTTTTAGCCTGCCATTATAGGAAATGTTTAAATGTAAAGCACAGGGAGGTAATGAGAATTCAAAACTGTTTTTGAGTATTAGCGTGGAGGAGAGAAGCTGTGCCCTGTTTTATCTTTCACTACTTCAAAAACAAGGTATTATGGAACTATGACAACCACACTTGTCAATTTAAGGGAAAAACATCCTAAACCAACTTTCTGCTTTTTGGTTTTTTTTGGGGGGGGGGGTTTGCGTCATTTGGCCCGTGAAAAAATTTTCTCTCAAACATAAACGTCTGTAAGCAAGTTCTGCTCAATACGTTTTACAGAGATCAGACAGCAAGATGCAGAACTAAAGATAGATCAAAAACATCCAAAGTGGGCTTTGGATGTCCAAGAGGCCCTGCCCAACTCTTCCCATCCGCCCACCGCAGACCCGGCGGCCGGTTCGTCCCTTTCCGAGGTGCCCAGGGTCCGGTCCTGGAGCCGCCCTAGCAGCCTAAACAGCCGCCCTCGCGCCTACTCGCCCGCCCAGGCCTTCGGAGAGAGGAGCAGCCCAGGTGACTTAGGGCAGGTGCGTCAGCCCCGGCCGTCACTCACCTTGCTGGGTTCCCAGGCCGCTGCCGGCCGGGGTTCAGGAGATGCCACTTCTACTAGATCCATGTGGGGAAGAAGCCAGCGACAAAAACAGGGTAGAGAGGGCGCAAGACTGGGAAGCGGGTTCCGCCGAGGAGGAGAAAGGCAGTAGGGTATGGGCAACGGGTGGCGGGCGCCGGAGCGGAGATGACAGATGGCGCCGACAGCGGCCGCGTCCGGAACTAACCTCTTCTCTTCCGCCCTCACGGGTGTGGCACTTGCTTCCAATTGGGCGCCCGACCCTCGCTAAGCCATCTTTCCCCGCCCCTCCGGCGGGCCGCACTTCCGTCCGCAGTCCACAGGAGGTCGATTGGCGATTTGCCGCTTGCCTGAAAGTTGTGGCAGGCGCTCGAGCGGGGCAGGGCAGGGAATGGGGGTGAAGTCCCCTGGTCCAGGCTCTGCCGTGTACCGGGACAGCCTTTCTCTTTCTTTCTCCCCGACAGCCCGTGGACAGCACTGGCTCTAGTAAAACTGTATTAGACTGTGTGGGTTATAAATAAGCAAACAAACGAGACTCTTCGTTCATTCATTCTTTCCCTTGTTAAATCTAAACTGAGAAGGTAACACTAAAACAAAAATGGCAGTTTAGATAGGGGAAAGAGACTGAAGAAGACGGGCGGTTTTTTGTTGTTACTGCAATTGTTTAGGGGCATTACGGTGAGTGAAATTTTATAAAACAACATTGAGAAAAAACCGCGCTGTATAATACAAGTTTTGATTCTGTATTTCGTAGGGTGATTCTTAAAAAGTGACTGGATAAAAATAGCTAAACCTTACATTTCACTTAGTGTGTTCCAGGAATTGTTCAAAGTACTTTATTAACTCGTTTAGTCCTTGGAATAACCTTGAGATTAAGTTCTTTAGTTCCCATTTTACTGATAATGAAACAAGCACAAAAAGGTAAAGTAACTTGCCTAGGGCCATCTAGCTAATAAATGACAAAGCTAAGTGGCAATGCTTCCTTCCTTGTTCAATTTTTGCCCATAGAATCCTTTAACATAACAACTCAAGGCTTGAATTTAAAAAATATCATAAGGTTTTCACTAGCCAACTTTTTTAGTATATTGCCAGACCCTACGTCCTAATCTTAGCTTTAGTGAAACCTGGAGTTTATGAGAAAAAATATGGGCCAGAAGTAGGACATCAGTAGCCATCATAATAATGACTATTTATTGGGTGCTTACTGTGTAAAGTATTGCTTACTTAAGTCTTGTTGGTAGGTGCTGTCAGGTTGGTTCTGACTCATAGCAACACTGTATACAACACAAAGGAGCCTCACCCAGTCCTGCACCATAATCATTGCTATGCTTGTCCATTGTCGCAGCCACTGTGTCAATCCATCTCAATCAACGGTCTTCTTCTTCACTGATTCTCTACTTCACCAAGCATGATGTCTTTCTCCAGGACTGGTTCCTCCTGATAGCATATCAAAGTACATGAAAATAAGTCTCCCCATCCTTACTTTTAAGGAGCATTCTGGCTGTACTTCCAAGACAAATTTGTTTGTTCTGCCAAAAGTTCATAGTATGTTCAATATTCTTCACCAATACCATAATTCAAAAGCGTCAATGTTTTTTTCAATATCCTTACTAGTTGTCCAACTTTCACATGCATATCAAATTACTGAAAACACAATGGCTTGGGTCAGGCATACCTTAGCGTTCAAAGTGACATCTTTGTTCTTTAACCTTTAAAGAGGTCTTTGGCAGCAGATTGGCCCAATGCAAGTTGTCCTTTGATTTTTTGACTGCTGCTTCCATGAATATTGATTGTGGATCAAAGTAAAGTGAAATCCTTGACATCAGTCTTCTTTCCGTTTATCATGCTGTTCTTTATTGGTCCAGTTGTGAGGATTTTTATTTTCTTTGTGTTGAGATGTAATCCATACTAAAGGCTGTAGTCTTTGATCCTCATTAGTAAATGCTTCAAGTACTCTTCACTTTCAGCAAACAAGATTGGTTGATCTGCGTATTTCAGGTTGTTAATGAGTCTTCTCCCACTCCTGATGCTGCAGTCTTCTTATAGTGCAGCTTCTAAGGTGCATGCTCATACGTACAGACATGAATAAGTATGATGAAAGGATACAACCCTGATGCACACCTTTCTTCACTTTAAAACCATGCAGTGTCCCCTTGTTCTGTTTGAACAACTGCCTCTTGGTCTATGTACAGGTTCCTCGTGAGCACAGCTAAGTGTTCTGGAATTTCCATTTTTTCTAATATTATCCATAATACTTAAGTATTAAATACTACAAATATTTTAGCTCATTTGGTCCTTAAAATAATTCATAGAGGTATTGCTATTCTATTTTTTAGATTAGGAAACTGAGGTGTAGAGAGCCCAGTGTCACACATAAGGAAATATGGTTTATATTGGTTATTGAAGGAAATGAAAAAGGTGACTTTTAGGTAGACTATAGGAGTCAAGCGACAGGAGATTTTGATGAAGTTGGAGTAGAGAAGTTCAGTGACAGGAAGGGCATAATGGAATTAATGACTTGAAAAACAGTGGGCTGAATGATGTGTTGACAAGGATGTGGAAAAACTGGAACCCTTGTGCATTGCTGGTGGAAATATAAAAATGGTGTAATCTGTGTGAAACATTTTGGTGGTTCTTAAAAAAGTTAAAGTATACACAGAAATGTACATGTGAAAATGGTTGAAATGTATGTTTTGCTGTGTGTATATCACTATAATAATAATAAAAAGTTAAGCATAGAATTACCACATTGTTGTTGTTAGTTGCTGGCAAGTCAGTTCTGACTCATGGCAACCCCACGTGTGCCGAATAGAACTGTTCCATGGGGTTTTCAAGGCTGTGACCTTTTGAAAGCAGATCACCAGACCTGTGGTCTGAAGTACCTCTGGGTGAGTTTGCACTGCCAATTTTCTGGTTAGTAGTCGAGTGATTAACCATATAACCCAATTGCACTCCTACAAGGACTCCTGTTTGTACGTCGAACCTCACAGTGTTGGATTATCCAAGAAGCAAGGAGCACTGTGTTACTTGTGCTTATTTATTAGACCATAGTAAACAATTTCACATTTTTCACCACATTAAATATTCTGCATCTAGGTATGGCTAGCATCTGTCTCTCTCCCAACTCCATAACACCTTCCTACAGAATCAAAGCCTCTTTTCAAATTTAGAATCCTTGGCATGGACAGAGAGCCCAGTAAGCACAGGCTTACGTGTGCTTGCTTACTAATCTGTAGTGAACAGTTACACATGTTTTTTTTTACAGAGTAGTAAGTAAGCACAAGTAAGACTGTAGTTAGTTTTCTTATTGGGTAATCTGCCCCATCATAGCAGTAAAGTTCACAATAGCCAAAAGGTGGAAACAGCTCAAATAACCATCAACAGATGAATGGATAAACAAAATATGGTACATCTATAAAATGGGATATTACTCAGCCATTAAAAGGAAAAAAGTACTGATACCATGCAGATGAACCTTGAACACATGATGTTAAGTGAAAGAAGCCAGACACAAAAAGTCACATATTGTAGGTTTCCATTAATATGAAGCATACCCTTTTCCAAAGAGTTGATTCCAACTCATAGCAACCCTATAGGACAGAGAACTACCTCTTTAGGATTTTCAATGCTGTAATCTCTGCAGAAGCAGACTGCTATATCTTTCTCCCACTGACTGACTGGTGTGTTCAAACTGCAGACCTTTCAGTTAGCAGCCAAGTGCTTAGCCACTGTGCCACCAGGGTTCTTCATGAAACATCTAGAATGAGTAAATCCATAGAGACAGAAAGAAGCTGGTGTATACTGGTGGCAAATTGGTGATTGTTAGGAGCTGGGGGGAGAGGGGAATGGGGAATGACTACTTCAATGAGTACAGAAATTTTTTTGGGGCACATGAAAATGTTATGGAACATGATATGTTGTTGTTATGTGCTGTTGAGTTGGACCCGTCTCATAGCGACCCCTCCTTGGGTTTCTGAGGTGGTATCAATATAGAAGTAGATAGATTGCCCAACCTTCCTTCCAAGGAGTGGCTGGTGGGTTTGAACCACCAGCCTTCTGGTTAGCAGTCAAGTGCCTTAGGCACTATACTACCAGAGCTTCATGATATAGGTGGTGGTTTTACAACATTTACAAATCATTTGTTCATTCATTCATCATGTATATGTTACACACTTAGTATGTACAAGGCACTGAGCTAATCACTCTGCTTTCCAAGAACTACCATGTGGCTGGGGAGAGGGCATACACAATCTGACTTTAATGCAGAACTTCACATGAGATTGGGAAAGAGTTTCAGGTGTGCCTCCTCATCCTCAGGGTGGGTGGCCCAGCCTGGTTCAGCTCTTTAGGCTCCAGGTATTGTCTGCCATTCACCCCAGGATCTGAATAAGTACTATCATATTCTGTGTGGACCATGATGTGGGAAAATTTTCAGGCATTATAACAGGAATTAAAAAGTTCCTAAGGCATTTGACTGCTAACTGGAAGGCTGGCAGTTCAAACCCACCAGCCACTCCTTGGAAGGAAGGTTGGGCAATTACTTCCATAGTGATACAGCTTTGGAAACCCAAGGAGGGGTCGCTGTGAGTCGAAATTGACTCGACAGCAGTGAGTTTTTGAGTTTATGGGATACTGGTCTGATTGAGACTGGTGAAACCCCTGAGACTATGGCCCCTAGTCACCCTTTGGGCCTGGAATTGAACTCGCTCCCGTGGCTCCCAGCCAAACAATACCAAAAAACCAAACCAAACTCACTGCCATCAAGTTGATCCCAATTCACAGTGACCTCTCCTTGGTCTTCTGAGGCGATATCTCTATGGAAGTAGATAGCCCAATTTTCCTTCCAAGAAGTGGCTGGTGCTACTATTCTGATTAGCAGTCAAATGCCTTAGGCATTACACCACCAGAGCTCCCAGCCAAACAATGTTGTTGTTGTTGTTATGTGCCATTGAGTGGGACCCGACTCATAGCGACCCCTCCTTGGGTTTCCAAGGCAGTATCACTACGGAAGTAGATTGCCCCATCTTCCAAACAACAGACAGGAGTATAAGGTGCACGTTTATATGAGGTAGGTACACTCCTTAGAACAATCACCGATGGGAGACCAGAAGGTCAATATTTACACTAGGAGATATCTCAGAGGACAAGAATGCATGGGAAAGAAGGACACGGAAAAGGTAACCACAGGGAGGAAGTGAGAAGTAGAGGTGTTACATTATGGGGATTGCAGTCAAAATCATGAAACAAAATGTGTATGGACTGTTGTACGGAAAATGAATTTGCTCTGTAAACTTTCACCCAAATCATAATTAAAAAAAAATTCCATGGGAGAAAAATGAGGAGTTCTGGAGCTCAGCTGACCACCCAAAGCTCAGCAGTTTGAACTCAACAGTTGCTCCAAAGAAGAAATATGTGGCAGTATGCTTCCATAAAGTTTACAGCCTTGAAAACTGTATGGGGCTCCTAAAGGGTCACTATGAGTCAGAATCGACTGATGGCAGTGTGTTTTTTGAAGAGGTCCCTGAGGAACACTGGTGGTTCAATGGTTAAGTACTCTGCTGTTAACTGGAAGGTAGGCAGCTCAAACCCACCAGCTGCTCAGTGGGAGAAACATGTGGCTAGTCTGCTTCTGTAAGAATTATAGCCTTGGGAACATTATGAGACAGTCCTACTCTATCCTATGGGGTCACTAAGAGTTGGAATCAACCCGATGGCAATGAGTTTGTTGTTATGGGAGAAGAAAAGGAGGATAATTCTACCTGAGGTGTTTTGAGAGGAGCTGGACCTTGAAAATGAGTAAGATTCCCAAGGCACAAAGTAAAGAAGTGTGCAGTAATCTGGAAGTATTTATTTAACAAAAATATACATACTTCCCTGTGCATGCCCCTGTTGGGGATTTATTATACAGAAGTAAAAGCAGCAGTAGGTAAAGATCAGGCACAATGATGTTTATTATAGCCTTGTTTGTTGTACCAAAAGAGTAGAAACAACATGGAATTCCATCTACAGGGGAATGATTGAAAAAATCATGGAATATCCATACTATGGTGTGGTAGTTAAAGTTATGTGTCAATTTGTCTGGGCCTTCAATGGGCCTATAAGTTCATGTGAATGATCAGAATTCCCAGGTGTATAGTAGAGCTGACAAGGGGCAAGGTTATGGTCATTACTTGGTCACAGCCAGCTACCCAAGGGACCGAGTAGTTGATCCTGCGGGCTTGGGACCATAGTCGCAGGGGACATCAAGCTCAATTGGCATAACATACTATACAAAACATTGTTCCACCTACTACTTTGGCGAGTAGCGACTGGGACCTTAAAAGCTAGGAAGCTGCCATCTAGATGCAACAACGGGTCTCTCCTCGTCAAGAAGAAAGAAGAAAAGCAAAATTAATGGAAACAATCAGTCCTAGCGACTGGTACACCATCCGATCTGCAACCTATACAACTATGAGACCAGAAGAACTAGATGGTGCCCAGCTACCACTGCCATCCACTTGGAAGGGATGTAGGAGATCCTGCATAAAGAGGGAGAACAATGTGGTACAAAACTCAAAATCATTTGGAGGCAAAAAAAAAAAAGAAGGTGGGGACCAGGTTTGCTGGTCCAATGGAGCCTGGTGTAACCACTGAGACTATGGCCCCTAGCTGCCCTTCAGGTCTGGAATTGAACCCACAACTGTGGTTTCCAGCCAAACAAAGTACAGGCATGTGAGTTAAACATTTACCTCAAGTAGACACACGCCCTGGAGAGAACAATCATGGGAGAAGGAAGGGCTGCTTATGCACAGGGAGATAGCTCAGGGTGCAGAAGAGTATGAAGGGATGGACACTGGGAGGAGGTAACTATGGGGAGGAAGTGGGAGGGGAGCTGCTGCATTGTAAATTTTGGTCAATGACATGAGACAAAGTATATGTGAACTGCTGTATGAAAAGTGAATTTACTCTGTAAATCTTCACCCAAATCCTAATTAAAAATAAAAAAAAAAATTTGTCTGGGCCTGGTTGAGTGGCTGGGCAGCTGAATGTAGTTATTCCCCATGGTGAGACTGGCAGTCAATTCCATGGTCAATCTACTGGAGCGGCTAAGTAGCTGCTTTAGAGATGTGGTCTGCTTCCTGTAGATAAGAAGCAGCTTTGAGGAAGGTGTCTAGCTTTTTGGCAGGCTTGAACCCTGTATGTAGCCAAGTCGTTGTTCATCAGCCTGCTGTGCCTTGCTGATGTTGGGACGTTTTCTGGACTTGAATTAGTGGCCTGCTGTGTTGTTTGGTGATATTGGGACTGTGCCTTTTTTCTTGTCGATGCTGGGTTTGTCAGCCTCAGCAACCAGCAGCTGCCTGAATGAAGAAAGCCTCCAGCGTCAGTCAGCCAGGAACAAGAGGCCCAGCTGAATGAAGCCCAAACCAGGGGCTTTCACTGAGGCCCTAGAGCCTGGCACTTGAAACTCAGACTTCTAGCCTCCAAAATTGTAAGGGAATAAACTCCTTTAAGTGAAAGCCATTCATCTGTGGAATTTTCTGTTAGAGCAGCACTAGGTAACCAAAATATATGGATCATCTATCGATTTTAAAAAGAATTAATTAAACTTCGGTGCATTGACCTGTGGTTAAAAAAATTTCATAATAATGTGCATAATTAGATCCATTTTTATAAGACAACAACTTGTAAGTATATATTGTTCTATGGGTATAGAGAAAAGCAAACAGGGATAGTAACCTATTAATATTGGTTACTTGGGTAATGATGGTTAAGAGGAATACGGAGAAAGGTGATTAATTTTTCTTTTATACATCTCTGTTCTATATGACTTCTTGTTTTCAGTTGCCACAAAGCAGCCTCAATTCTGACTCATGGTGAGCATATGTGTGTCAGAGTACAACTGTGTTCCCCAGGGTTTTCAAGGTGGGGACAGATTGCCAGGCTTGTCTTCCAGGGTGCCTCTGGATGGGTTTGAACTGCCAATGTTTAGTGTTTAACAATTTACGTCACCCACGGATTCCTTTGACTTGTTCCAATCATGTTTTTTTTTTTTTCCTTTTTTTTGTGTGTGTTCATTAAAGATAAGGCAGCTGGGTGGTGCAAATGATCACTTGAGTGATTATAGTTAGTTTTTTGTGTGATTGCAAAATTTATTCAGATTCAGTGTAGAAAATTGGGAAATTTCATTAAAGACAAACATTTTGGTCTCACCATTTACTGATAATTTTTTAACATTTTTCTTTAAACAGTAATGGGATATTGTGAACTATTTTGTAAACTGCTTTGTTTCTGTTATACCACTTTAAAAGGATACGGACTACGGCCCCACCTTCCTCTACAGGAGGTCGGGGGTCTGACTCTTCCCCCCACCATGTTTCTACCTTGCTGTCAGGCTTGGGGTCAGCGCCTGACCCACCTGCCACAAGACTAGTGGTTCTGGCAGGCGCGGCCCCTTTAAGCAGTCAGGAGCCGGGGGGGGGGGGGGGGGGGGGGGGGGCGCCCCGGGGGGGGGGGGGGAGGGGGGCAGTCCCCGCTCCAATTGGTGGAGTTCAGAGTTACGTGGTCTTGCGCTGGCGGCGCCGGCGAGGCTGGGAGTGCAGCGGGGCTGGCTTGGTGGGTGCTGTCTGTCTTGGGGAAAGGGAAGCGGCTTGACAAATGTGTTTGAGGAGGTCCTTGGCCGGCCTCACCTTTTGTGCCTGCTACCTGGCTTCTTACCTCACGAACAAGGTGAGGGGGGCGGGCGCGGGGAGGCGATGGCAAGTCGGAGACGTGAGTCTGGTATACGTGTACCAATGTAGCCTCTAGCTATGATCTTTTCTTGACGGTGAAGAAACCGACTCTGTGCTTTAGGTATCAAATTTGTTAGATTGTAGTGTCCCTATTTCACATTCTTTCACATTCTGTGAAACGCCCTGTACAACACCTGGGAAAGAGGATATTTTGACTAGAGCATTCCAGTAAACTTATTTTGTGGCTGTATGGACTACTTTCAAGGGAAAGAGAAGAAATGGCTCCAATTCCCTCGGGGAGGAAGAGTAGTGGAAGAAGAAATTGTACACATTCTGCCTTCTTTTCTAGACACGCGCCTACCCCAGAATCCCCAACATTCCAAAAGCTTTTCAATACAGAAGATTACTCCATCTCCACTACACCACTGATCCCCGAATTTATTAGCATGTCCTCATCCCAAGCACTTCCAGAATATTCCAGAGTTTTTAGTGGAATTTACAAGTAAAATGTAAATATAATTTTAAATTTAAAATAATGTCATGAAACCTTTTTTTTGAAGAGGCAGAAAAGAGGTGGTGCTTGATAAAGGTTGGGGATCACTGATAAATCGGAGTAGATGGTGTCTTTTTTCTTTGTTAGCAGGGGCAAGCTGGCCATGGGTTTGGTACCATATCGAGAGATGCTGGAACCTGTAGACATGGGTGGGCCATCACCTCCTGTTCTGGACTCTGGGCTGGCAAAGTCGGTGTTGATATTGCTCAGGACCATCTTCCCACCTGGTTGGATCTCTTCCGTCCCTTCCCAGGTCTTCCTCTACTCCCTAAACCCTTTGCTCTCTTGCAAAGACCTGTTGACAGCATTTTCTTCTACTTTCTATCTTAGAGCTAGTGGGTGTCCTCAGTCTATTTAGAGGATTCTCTTGAGCCTTCTCTAGCCCTCCAGTTGATGGTAGTTCTGGTGATGGGCCTTTGAAGATCTACTGATGCAGCCTTGCTGGGAGGCAGTGATGGGTTTGCATCCTGGTCCCAACCATTGGCTTTGGTACCTTAATCTATCTAAAGCTAAATTTTATAATCTTTAAAATGAGATTAAAAAGTACTCTTCTCAGGGTTCTTGTGAGGATTAATCAAAATAATGTTTGTAAGGCGGTTGGACTAGTGCCTAATGTAGTGAATGCTCAATAAGATAAGTGGGGTTACTCTGGAATGAAGGGGGAAACAGGGAGGAAGGAAAGACAATATTTTGTTTATTGTATGACACAACTTTTAACAGATATATTTTCCCCCTCATGGGACAGGTAGCTAAGCTGAAAGAAGATAGAATCTTGTTCTTTTGTAGTTCTACCTCAGAAATATGTGAATTTTTGAAATGTCCCTTTAGTTTAGCTATTCTAATTTGCTTAGCTAGCTTGATAGATATATTGGTAATGCTTTACTTTAAAACAGAATATAACCTGCTTTTTATTTCTATGTAATCTTCAGAGGGGGCAAGGTAATACTTCTTTTATGAGAACCCACAAGGCAAGACATTGATTAAAAAAAACCCAAATGTATATCTGAGCAAAAAAAAGTCCAGCAGGCAGATAGCATTTAGTTCATAAATGTTTATACCCCCTCTGGATATGCATTAAGGAGCTCTGGTGGCACAAGGCCTAAGACATTTGACTACTATCTGTAAGGTTGGCGGTTCAGACGCCCCAGCCACTCCGTGAATCGAAGACTGGGCAATCTACTTCTGTAAAGATTTACTGCCTCAGGACCCAATGGAGATAGCTGTGAGTCAGAATCTACTCAATGGCAGTTTGATTTTTTTTTTTTGTTTTGGATATGCCTTTGTATTTGTGGCATTATATCTGTATCTGGTTGTATCACCATGCCGTTGTATAATCTACGCATTAAAGACTGAATACCTTCTCTGTACATGATGTCTCAAGGTGCTTGTTGTTAATTGCTGTTTAGTCAGCTCCCGTTCATGAGGACCCTATCTACACAGAACGAAGTGCTGCCAAGTCCTGTGCTGTCCTCGTGATGAGTGATATGCTCGAGTCAATTGTTGCAGTCCCTGTGTATTTTGAGTTCCTTACAACCCAGGGGCTCATCTTCTAGCATTTCGTTGGACAGTATTCTGTTGTGACCCATAAAGTTTTCATTGGCTAATTTTTGGAAGCAAATTGCTAACCCTGTCTTCCTAGTCTTTTAGTCTAGATGGCTCTACTGAGTGATTATAGTTAGTTTTTTGTGTGATTGCAAAATTTATTCAGATTCAGTGTAGAAAATTGGGAAATTTCATTAAAGACAAACATTTTGGTCTCACCATTTACTGATAATTTTTTAACATTTTTCTTTAAACAGTAATGGGATATTGTGAACTATTTTGTAAACTGCTTTGTTTCTGTTATACCACTTTAAAAGGATACGGACTACGGCCCCACCTTCCTCTACAGGAGGTCGGGGGTCTGACTCTTCCCCCCACCATGTTTCTACCTTGCTGTCAGGCTTCGGGGTCTGAAGCCTGTCCACCATGGGGGACCCCTGCTCGTATTTGGAATACCAGTGGCATAACTTCCAGCATCATAGAGACACTCAAGCCACCACAGTATGACAAACTGGCAGGTGGGTGGCAATTCATGGTGCTAGATAAAATTGAATCAAGTTGTCATATTCCCCAGGAATAGATAATCTAAGTAATAGAAATCATAGATTCCTACAGACCCCTCAAAATTGAAACATTTTTCATGATTATTTGGAATGCTTTGGCTTAGGGCTGTTGAGAAGTGTCAGAGCTAGATGGAGAGAGTGGAATAATAACAGCAGAAGGCAGAAAAGAAGTTATATGAAGAGGAAGAAGGAGGTATAATAGAAAGTGGTGGAGAGGAGCTGTGAGGTTCATGTAGAGGTAGGAGAGGGGTTGTTCCTAAAGGGCCTCTGATGGGAACGTTGTAATTCTTAGAAGCTTGAATATTTTGTTTCCGTTGATTCATCTTGTCAGCCAGGATAGTCATACTTCTGCAGGTAGCCAAGGCTGGGTTCTGCTGCTGTCTCATGGTGAGACCAAAGAGAGACCAAACAGGAAGAGACTTGTGCGACGGGCACTCCATGGGTATATTGTCCTACATGTAGTCTTTGCCAAATTATAATTTTCTTTTGAATTAGTGAAGATTTTTCTCTTCTACTATTGGAAGCCTCTATGGTAGTTTCCTTATTTCCTTGCTTATCAGTATGATGTTCTCCTTGAACTTTTTTCCTCTCTATTTCTAGAAAGGAAATTCATTAAAAAAAAAAAAAAAAGCCTTGTGCATCTTGTTCTCATCCCTTCTACTGTTTAAATGAATGATTTTTTTTTTTTGGAAGCTTGAACCAGCAAGTGAGTGTCAAAGGAAGCTACTTGGGTAAAGAGGGAGGAGAAAGCACTTCACCCTTGAGTTCTGGCTTTTCTGGCTCTCCTGGCTCTGCAGTGCTGCTAGCAGAGCCTGGGTGCCAGGGTCTATGTCCTGTGGGAGATACCAGTAGTAACCTGGGATCCAGGCAGCTGCCTCACCTCCTTTTTCTCATAGCTCTTCAGCTGTTAGCTTGGAGGCAAAGTCATTTTCTGTCCTTTCAAAGGTCCCCAGGAACCCAGTGGTGCAGTGGCAGATAGAACCTGCCAGCTACTCTCCAGCTTGCTTCTGTGAAGACAGTTGTTGTTGTTGTTATGTGCTGTCAAGTAGGCCCTCAACTCATAGCCACCCCTCCCTGGGTTTCCGAGGCAGTATCACTACAGAAGTAGATTGCCAACCTTCCTTCCGAGGAGTGGCTGGTGGGTTTGAACCGCCAGCCTTCTGGTTAGCAGTCAAGTTCTTTAGGCACTATGCTACCAGAGCCCTTGGAAATCTTGTAAGGCTGTTCTAATCTGTCCTATAGGGTCTCTGTGAGCGATGGCAGTGGGTTCTCAATGGTTCCCAAGTAGCTTCGTCTCTTCCTCTGAGAAACTCTTTGGCTAGGGCCTTGTTCTGCCAAACAGCATTTTGAATGCTTTTGCATAGTCAGTAAAACACAAGTGAACATCTTTCTGGTATTGTTTGGTCTCAGCCACGATCCATCTGACATCAGCAGTGATATTCCTCATTTTACATCCTCTTCTGAATCAGGCTTTAATTTCTATCAATATACTGCTGCAACTATTTTTAAATTATCTTCAGCAAAATTTTACTTGTGTGTGATATTAATGATATTGTTTGATAATTTCCACATCCTGTTGGGTTACCTTTCTTTTTTTTTTATTTTTTATTGTGATTTGGATGAAAGTTTTCAGAGCAAATCCATTTTCTGTACAGCAGTTTGTACACATTTTGTTTTATGGCACTGACTGCAATTCCCCACAATGTAACAGCTCTCTCCCCACTTCTTCCCTGTAGTTACCACTTCCTTGTGTCCTTCTTTCCTATGCATTCCTGCCCCCTGACCTATCTCCTTGTGCAAACACTGCCCTTGTGTTCTCCCACGATTGATTGCAGTAGGGAGTGTATCTACCTGATGTATACGTTCATCCTATACGTCTGTCTGTTGTTTGGCTGGAAGCTACGGGAGTGAGTTCAGTTTGTTGAGTCACCTTTCTTTGGAATGAGTACAAGTATGGGTCTCTTCCAGTCAGTTGGCCAGATAGCTGTTTTCCAAATTACTTGGCACAGGTAAGTGAGTGCCTTAAGCGCAGCATCCGTTTGTTGAAACATGTCAATGGGTATTCCTTCAATTCCTGGAGTCTTATTTTTTGTCAATTCCTTCAGTGCAGCTTGGACTTCTTCCTTCAGTACTGTTGGTTCTTGGTCATATGCTACCTCCTGAAGTAGTTGAACACCGACCAATTCTTTTTTTGTACAGTGACTGTATATTCCTTCCATCTTCTTTTGATGTTTCCTGCATCATTCAATATTTTACCCATAGAATCTTTCAGTATTGCAACTTGAGGCTTGAATTTTTTCTTCAGTTCTTTCAGTTTCAGAAATATCAAGTGTGTTCTTCCCTTTTGGTTTTCTAACTTTAGGCTTTACACATTTTATTATAATACTTTGCTTTGTCTTCTTGAGCTGCTCTTTGAAATCTGTTCATCTCTTTTATCTCATCATTTTTTCCATTCACTTTAGCTATTCTCCATTCAAGAGCAAGTTTGAGGGTCTCTTCTGACATCCATTTTGGTCTTTTCTTTCTTTCCTCTCTTTTTAATGGCCATTTGCTTTCTTCGTGTATGATGTTCTTGATGTCATCGTGTATAATGTTCTTGATGTCATCCCACAACTCATCTAGTTTGGTACAAATGGTTAAATGCTCAGTTACTAGCTTAAAGGTTGATGATTCCAACCTGTTGCAGGTGCCTTGGAAGACAGGCCTGGCTATCTGCTTGAAGGTCACAGCCATTGAAAACTCTGTGGAGCAGTTCTGCTTGACACACTTGGGGTCTCCACAAGTCAGAATTGACTCAGCAGCAACTATCTACAACTGTAACAACAAAGGCCTTTTTGAAAATCGAGTGCACTTACATCATTCAATAGTAATTTCTTTGCTTATGTGGTCTATCAGTTCTCCATTTTAAGTGTTCATTAATTTGTTATTTCTTTTTCAGTATGTCCTGTCTGTCTTGAAATTTACGTACCCTACATTATTCCAAGGGTGAGTATCTTTTACATTCTTTATATATGTTTGTAAGAAATGTCCAACAAGCATCATTAAATGTCCTTTAAAACATTTGTAAATCAAATTGATACTGTTACTAATCTGTATTGTAATTTATAGAACCATTCTATTAGTCGCCATTGAAATCATATCCCATTTTTTTTTTTCTTTTTGCTATGAAAACAGCAGTGTTATTGGATCTTTTAGTGCCTAAATCTGCCAGATTTCTCACTATTTTGAGGGGTTAGATTCCTTCATGAAAAATGAAAAATTTGAGTTAAAGAACATGAATATATAATTTCTTATTTATTTTTTAACCATATTATTGTGTTTTAGGTGAAACTTTACACAGCAGATTAGCTTCCCACTCAACAATTCATACACAGATTGTTCCATGACATTATTTGCTCTCCCTGTAGTATGTCAGCACTCTCCTCCTTATTTCCACCCTGCCTTCCCTGATTCCTTCCATCTAGTTCCTTCCTCACCTTGCCTTCTCACCTTTGCTTTTGGCAAATATTGCTCATATGGTGTTGTATAGTTGACTGTTCTAATAAGCACATTCCTCATGGGTGTTACTGTTTATTTTGTAGGCCAATCTATTATTTGGCTGAAAGGTGACTTCAGCACCAGGTTAAAAAGGTGCATCAAGGTGATAATATCAAGGACTCCTGTAGTCTCTGTCAGTCCAGTGAGTCTGGTCTTTTTTACTAAGTTGAATTTTGTTCCACATTTTTATCCCATTCAAACTGAGAAGCTTTATTGTATCCCTGGTTAGATTGGTCAGTAGTGGTAGCCAGGCACCAGCTTGTTCATCTGGTCTCAGGCTAGAGGAATCTAGAGTTCGTGTGGACCATTAGTCCTGTGACTGACTGTTTCCCTGAGTCTTTTGTTTCCTTCACTTTCTTTGCAGAAGGAGACCAGTGGTTAGTTGACTGCTCACAGTTTTAAGACCCCGATGCTACTCACCAAATCAGCATGTAGAACATTATCTTTATGAAGTATATTATGCCAGTTGACTGAGATGTCTCCTGAGATTATTGTCCTGAGCCTTCAAACTGAGTAACTCAGTACCACGAGGTATTTGGATATGTCTAGGAAGTTTCCATAACCGTGTCCCCTATGTGCTCTATTATATATATGAATATATATGCAGCACATACAAATATTGTGTACACATGCCCACAACTATACCCATATATAAGGAGCTCTAGTGGCATAGTGGATGAAACATTTGGCTGTCAGTAGTTCTAAACCCACCAGCTGCTCCGTGGAAGGAAGTTGGGGTAGACTACTTCTGTAAAGATTTATAGCCTCAGAAACCCAGGGGGGTCGCTATGAGTTGGAATTGACTTGATGGCAGTGAGTTTTGATTTTACACCTTTATATGCACACATGCACACATGTATATTCCTATCTGCCCTCCCACACCTGTATAGCACACATATCTACCTATGTAACAGCTCACAAATTTTTCGTGGTTATTACTGTTGTAAATAAGAAGAACGAGCAAATCTGCCCTGGACGAAGCCCAGCCAGAATGCTCCTTGGAATGAGAATGGCCAGACTTCATCTCACCTACTTTGGTCATGTGGTCAGAAGGGACCATGCTCTGGAGGAGGATATCATGCTTGGTAAAGTAGAGGGTCAGCAAAAAAGGTGAAGACCCTCAACAAGATGCATTGGCACAGTGGCTGCAAAGTATATTTAGTGGGCTAACATATAGCAAGAATTGTGAAGATGCTGCATGACTGGGTAGTGTTTTATTCTGTTGTACGTAGAGTAATTATGAGATGGAGTCAGTTCTATGACACTTAACAGCTATGTGCTAGGTACCTTTATAGACACCTAAGAGACAACAGTGAACAAAACAAAGATCACTGACCTCATGGAGCTGGCTTTTCTCTCTTGGCTGCCCCTTAAATTTAGCTGTAGTAAATGGGACCTTCTATCTGGTTGCCAAACTCAGAAACCTAGGAGTTATTCTTGATTCTGTTGTCTCCTTCAACTCCACCATCAAATTGAGTACCAGCCAAAACAGCAAATTAGTTGCTGTTGAGTCAGTCACCCTATGGAGCACAGTTCTACTCTGAAACACATGGGGTCACCCCATGTGTTTCATGTGACACGTGTCACTCCTGTGTTTTAGAGTGGGACTGTGCTCCATAGGGTTCTCAGTGGCTGTGTTTCTTCAGAAGTAGATTGTCAGGCTTTTCTTCTGAGGTGCCTCTGGATGGGTTTGAATCTCCAGCCTTTCAGTTGGTATCCCAGTATTTAACTGTTTTGCCGTGCAGGGACTCCATAATTAACTACACAAAAACCCAAATCCATTGCTGTTGAATTGATTACAATTGTTGGTTCCCCATGGTCACAGTGTACAACAGTTCCATAGGGTTTTCCTGTACTCTTTACAGAAGCAGATTGCCAGACCTTTCTTTGGCACTGCTGGGTGGTTTCAAACCTCCAACCTTTAGGTTAGGGAAGCACAAACCATTTAGATGCCCCTGGGGACCATAGGATGTCTTTGGAATCTGTCTACCTTCTTCATTCTGAGTCCACTGCCTTCTCCAAATTACTGTAACAACCATCTAACTTGGCATCCTGTACTCTAGTCTTTTTTTTTATTTTTAATTAGGATTTGGGTGAAGATTTACAGAGTAAATTCACTTTTCATACAGCAGTTCACATATACTTTGTCTCATGTCATTGACCAAAATTTACAAT